AGAGAGTGATTTGAGACCTCACTTTCCCTCTTTCTCCCCATGGTGGGCTGTCAACACCAAAACCCCTCTCTCCTCTTGGGAGTCCCCTTGTACATTTCACCAGGAAGGTGGCTGCAGGTTAGCCATGAGGGAATGAATGAGTACTCCTCTTGCCAACCTTCATTTCTGGAGCTTTCACAGGGTCCTCTTTGTGATGGTACCCTCCTCGTGCTCTGTTTCCCGTTTCAGATCTGTAATCTTAGTAATGCATAATTTATTCCCTAAAAGGAGCAACAAAGATTGACTTTCCATGAAAATCGCTATGGCTATATTCTATTACCCTTTATTGAAAATTCACCCAGACTGTTCTAATCATCCATTACCATTTGCCATTTCAAAGCAGGACAGCCCACCATGGTACCTCTGTCACCTATCAGATCAAGTGCAAAAACAGGTCATTTCTTATCCTTAGATTAACTAAGTTGCAGAGAAGGCAGTGACCAGATTTCTTAGCATAAAACTGATATGCAGGGGAAATCCCCAGCTTTCCCACTCTATTTGCATCATATATGCATAGAAAAGTCAGAAGAATGTATATGATATACCAGTTATGTGAAGGAGCCCCCTGCAATGTGTTACCTCCTTATAACTATTTGCAAAGACTCCATGAGTTATAAAGTACCAAAGTCGTGGAAATGCATCGATTAAAGTAAATCTCTGGCTAACTGAAGTTATCTGACATTAAAAGCATGCCATACATGAATATATATCATGGGTCCCACATAACCTGGGGTTATGTTCAGTCTTCAGGGTGTTTGGCACCAACGGAACCCCATTCACCCCATCTCATATATTCTGGCTGGGAAAAAGCTGTCAGACCCAATGTCCCTCGTAGGCAAAGCCCTTTTCTCTACTACTATTCATGGCTCAGTTCACACATCCTTTCCCCTCACCCGGCAACCACTTTGTTTCACCTACTTTTAAACTCTTTCTTCTCACGTACCCAAAGATTGAAGGAAGTCTGTATCTCCAAGGCTATCTCTGGTCTTCTGTCTCTCTGCCCCTCTTTTTTTCTCTCTCCATTTCCTTTCTTCCCATTTTCCCTCTTTGATTCAGCTAAAAATTGACCCAACTGTCACAACATGTTATACAAAGGTCAACTTTCTCATAAAACATTTTCATTTCCTTGGGTTTAAGCGCCTACCAATATGGCAGAAGTATTATTTTATACTGTTGTGTTGTAGGCACACACAATTTTGGTTACATTTAGGATTATGTAAGATTTTGGGAGTCTTACTGGAAACCTAATAACCAGATCTAACATTGTGAAGGGGAACATGTTTCTGTCTTACAAATTTCAGGTATACAACTCATCCTGTGGTTGGATGAAGTAGTGCCAACTTTATAGTGAATACCAAGTAGAAATATGTAGTAGGAAAATCTGGCCACAGGGAGGTTGTTCTGCAAAAAATATTTTAAGAGGCACAAAAGTAAGGCCCAATTAACTTATGATTAACAGTATGATAAACCTCAAACATTCATCCATGTGTCTAGTCAGGAAACGTTTTGTCACACCCACAGTGGGGCAGGTACTATGCAAAGCTCCTGGGGTAACATGGCAGGCAGGGCCAACTTGAAGTCACCTCACAGATAATCTTAGGCATGTAGACCGTGGTGAGTGCAGGGAAGGAAAGGGAGAGACTACCATGGGCCTCCTGGGGCCTCACCTGGCTGGAGGCTGGACTGTCTGCTTAGATCAAGGCACAACCACAGGCTGTGGTCGGGTCTTGACACGGGGGCTTCAAAAGCACTATTTCTATCCCAGCCATGCTAGAAAATTACTTCCATAAATATAATTAATCATATTTTTACACCTAGGTTGGTATATGTCCTGAAATAAATCAATAATCAAAATCTTTGTCTACTAGGTTTATTCTGGGGGAGCCCCCAAAACATAAGACTTTGCTTACTTTGCTTATCCTATGAATTATGTCCATGCTTCTATTTTTGCTGTTAGCTTATCAAAAAATTATTTTCCGGGCATTTGTGAAGCCAATGTTATTGGTAACAGCTCTAAATATTATTGTTTGTTTTTGTGTGTGTGTTTGAGTACAGTCGACACACAATGTTACATTAGTTTCAGGTGTACAACATAGAGATTCACAACTCTATAGTTTATGCTATTGTTACTGACGGTGATGAAAGTGATAATGGATTGTGTAGGCTTTGGGCCTGGTATATAGGAGTCACAAGATAAACATGAATGGACTCTAAAAATTCTTTACCAAGAGAAAGTGCAAAATGATGTAGAAAGAACTCACAAATATCATGGAAAGAATAATCCCCCCTGAGAGTGCCAACATTTAAAGATTTTATTGTTTTAAGTATTCTCTATACCCAATGTGAGGCTCGAACCCACAACCCTGAGAACAAGAGTCGCATGCTCTACCGAATGGACCAGCCAGGCTCCCCCAGAGTGCAAACATTTAAAAGGCAAGAAATGGAAGTGGCAGAGCTGACTTCGTCACATCGGGTCTTGTTATATTTGTGAAAGGATGTGATTTGACTGGTGACATGTTCTTATTTATGTTGTACAAGATTATATTAAAATGAGATTCTACTATAGTCTGTGGGTAATGAGAGAAATATATGTAAATAATCTTATAAAAGATGTTTGGATGAAAACTTTTAGATGGCATCACATAAGTATCTATTTACTATGGCCAGTATGACTGTGAGAGTTTGGACTACTGTTCAGCAAATAGCCACACCCTCCCCCCTCCTACCATGGGCAGAGTGTGCTTCTCACTCCTTTGACCATGTGCTGGGCCCTGTGACTTGCTTTGCTCAATGGAATGTAATTGGACCTACTATTGCAAGGAGGGCCTTGAAAAGTGAGCAGTTGCTCTTGCCCTCCTGTCCCCCTGCCTTTCTCCATAAATAGAATGGGCCTCAGGTATCTCTTGGTCCAAGGAGAATGAAACATGGTGCAGACCCGATCCCAACCACAATGTGGAGCCAGATGGGCTGCCATCAGCCAGCGCGCAGATGTGTGAGCTGACCTACAACAGTAGGCGGGCCGTTGTTCCACACTGAGTCTTGGGGTGGTTTGTGACGCAGCATTATTGCAACTATTAGGATAAGCAAAGACTCCAAGGGGGGGGTGGATTTTGTTTCAAACTGAACTTCAAGATAGGCAAATCTATTCTGAAGTTAGAATATCTATCAATAAATTTAAAATTTTAAATTATTTAAAATATTAAACATCTAATTTTAATATGAGAGACTTTATAAAATATGTTACCTTTTGAAGTGAAAAGCTGCATCCTCTTCAGCTGCCTACAAGCTGTGGGCAGCCCCTGCTACACAGTACCCAGCAACATCGCATTGCCCTGGCTCCCATGAGCCTCTTATGAAAAAGCCCATCTCACACTATCTAGAAACTAATATGAAAGAGACTGGAAAAATACTCAACTCTGAACTGTGTGGGGGCCTAAACACTTAAATTTGTTTCCCTGAAAATGAATGTTGTTTTGACATGCATATTTTAAAAGGGCAGAAGACCTCAAGCCTTTGACAGTTTCAGGTTCAAGTTTTGGCTTTCCTGGCAGGCTGATTCTTTGTTGTGCCAGACAGCAAGGATGCATGTTTCACAGCAGGCGGAAGCCTCAGTAATTTTAGCAAAATGTTGGCTCTTTGAGCCATGGAAAATGCAGGCCACCAAGGAATGTTGCATTAGAGCATCTGAATAGAGAGGGAATCATAGCCACAAAATTAGTCTCCTAGTGAAGGCAGGAAGAAAGGACCCCACCCTCTGGCCTCAGTGCCTTCTTGCCATTCCATATTTGAGCAACAGGAAGTATGGGAGAACTTTCTAGATGCTGTTACCCTCAAAGAAGCAATCTGAAAGTTAGTCTAGTTCCTTTTTTCCCCTAAGCAAATAAGACAAGCAAGCCATTACACCTTCTTTCAGTTTTAGATGGAAATGATTTTTGCATCATTTATTCAACCAAATTGAAGAAATACACTTACCATTTATTTTGCCTTGTAAAATTTCTCTCAATACCATTTCATAAACAAGAGGGAAAAAAAAGATTTTCAATGAATCTATCATTTTGTCATAAAATTTTACATATTGCCTGACAAGTGAGTCTACAGCAGTTCCTTTGTAAAAAGGTAAAAAATGCCAATTCAGTGTCAAAAATAGCATATAAATAGCATGTAATACATTTCACTCATTTGATAGTTTGATCTTAAAACTGATGAAATTAGTAGAATAACTATGTAATTACTTTTGTAGTATTTTTAAGAATGTAAATAAGTAGTTTAGACTATTGCCATCTAAACGCTCTTACACAGGGGAAATCTTTCAAGATTCTGTTGTGATTTCATTCTTACTGACTGAAAGAACACCCTGCTGTCCCTTTTGCCAGGTCTTGACTCCTTAAATCTAAAAATCAAAATTTGAATCTTCATTAAATTATTCATTGAAAAGCAGAATGTTCTAGTCTTTCGTTCTCAAAAAAGGGAAAGACATTTCCTTGAAATCAACCCAATTCAACACTTAAATATTAAAATATCTGTACCATCATGTCCATGACTATGTGTGGGTTTTTTTTTTTTAAATCACTGTCCTTTTCATCATTTACGCAGAACTTGCAAATATTGCAAACTTTAGTAATTTTTTTCCTTAACAAATGTAGCGACTAGAGAACAAAGACAAGATAAAAGGTTTTATCCCAGATGGTTTCATTTAGCATAATTTCAACTTTCAAATTACAGGACCATAGATGAATGTCTTACTTCTGTGTTAAAAGTACTTGACTACTTTGTGGGATGTTTTGTGCCAATTCTTTACTAAATTATCTTGGTCACTGTTGCTAGGTAACACCGCTGGCTTCCCGCAGCTGAAAGGAGGTTATAGGGAACAATTCGGCATTATTAGCATTTGACTAAGAAGGTTGTTGGGTTTTGTTGTTGTTGTTTTAACCGTATATCTTAACATTTCCCCCCTTTTCTAGGGAATGTCATTGTCTATGGGAATACAATTGACACTTACACCACAGTGGAGACGCTCTTAAACATCGGTGTGAGGGGCTCCCATATCCACCTGGTGCGGCCCCCGCCCACTTCCACCATCACCTGCATCAACAACTACTCGGTGGAGAGCGCGGTGGAGGAGGCGCTCAGAGCAGCGGGAGTTACCGTTTACCGCGACGCGCTCCTGGCTCAGTGGAACGAGGGCCGGGACCCAGACCCCATTCACAGCGCCTGCTTCACCACGCCCACCAAGCCTTTCAGACTTCCGTGCTCCGTGAGTAGGTCCCTGTGAACTTCACTTGCCACCTGCGGAGAGCCGTCACCTGCCCAGGACGCTGGGTCCCAGAGATGGCCCGTGGGGGATTTATAGCCACAGTTTTTGGGTTTTCTTTTCTAATGGTTCAGATGATCTCTTGCTGAGGGACAAGCCACCCCAAACTTAGTGGCATAAAACAGCAATCACTTATTATGTTTACCTCTCCATTCTGGGGTTTGAGGGAGCCCAGCTGGGCAGTTCTCAGGTGAGGTCTCTTATGTGGCTGAAGTCAGACTGTGAGCTGGAGTCATGTTCATCCCCGTCTGGCTTTTGATGCTAGATTAGCTTCAGCTGAAATTTTGTCCAGAACACTTCATCTTGGCAGGGTGACTTGGTTCTAAGAGCCAGTGGGAAAGAGAGAGAGAGAGACTGTATCACCTGCCTATATCCAAGGGGAAGAGAATTAGACCCTGCCTCTTCATGGAAGGAGTGTCAAAGGTTTGAAGAGCGCTAACGTTGACCGAGAACTCACTGTGTCTCAGGCACCACGCTGCATGCTTACAGTATAGTCCGTCACGTGGTCACAACAGCTCTGTAAAGGAAAGCATCCCTATTTTACAGATGAGAACACTCTGACCCCAAGTCAGTGGTATGCTGGGCTCCCAACCCAGTTCAGAAGCACCCCAAAGTCTATGCTGCTGTTAACTTTCTAAGACTCTGGAAACAGCAATAGGGGTTTCTCCCCCATGGAATGGAGACTTAGAAGACCTTACTCTCATCTATCTATCTATCTATCTATCTATCTATCTATCTATCTATCTATCTATCCATCTATTATCTATTATCTATCTATCTATCTATCTATCTATCTATCTATCCCTATCTATCTATCTATGTTTCAAGAGAGAAGAACTTTTCTCTCAGGTTGTGTAATAGCTTGACTTGTAATGGCTTGACCTCCTCAGATTTGCCAGTCAGGAGATTAGCAGAAGCCAGCAGTTGGGGAGAGAGGGACGGGGCCAGTCAATCTAACAGAGAAGCCTCCCTTACAAAAGGGAGGCTGAGTTCAGTGTGAGTGTGGGGCTGGGTGGGTCAAGGGTATATATTATTGGTTGTGGTAAAGAATGCTAGCCACATTTAGTGGGCAAACTGGTTGGGGGAAGCCAGTGGGGGCTCATAGCAATCCCTTACCTAAGTCACGTCTTCTGACTCAAATGCCCCCACAGGTAAATGAGGGTGACCCTCATCCCCCACCCGCCCCACAGTCTATCTAGACAGGAGCTCAAAGCAGACCACCAGTGCAAAAGAGATTTCTCTGGAATCCCTCATTTTATCCTGATAATCTTTGGAAATTTTGCATTCTGCTCCTTCATACATGTGTTTATTCATTCATTCCACAAATATTTATTGAACGTCTGCTAGGTCTTAGGCTCTGTCCTAAGTGTGAGAGTCATAGCAGTGAAAAAGACAGAAAAAGTTCATTTTATTTTAATGTAAAAATGACATGGTATATACATGTATGTCACAATACCTATTTAAATTAAGAAGAATCCAAATGTTTTCACCCAAATTTTCTCCCCAAAATGACAATAATGGAAGATGTGCCAAGTTTATCCTGGGGAAACTCTGGAGCTAAACACACACCCTCCTTAGGAAGTAGAGGTATAAAAAAACCTCCCCTAGAAATCAATTGAATACAGGTTCTCTAGCAGCCCCCTTGGGCCTTTATTTCCCTATTTAGATCAAAATTGAAATCATGGCAAAGACATTTTGCAAATGCTCTCAACTGCCTTGGATCTAACACACCTTCCTGCTGAAACTTCATCCTAAAGCAAACTGAGCCAGGTAAAGTCTCCTGCTTCCCCCACTGTGCTCTGCACCACAAAGAATGGCCTCTGCAGGTGACGTTTCCCAGCCCTAGTTGCTCACTGACCTTCATAGGTGTTTGGCTAACAGTAGGTACTGGCAGGAGATTTCTCCCCTCTACTGTCAGCTTTGAGTAGCATCTCTGTCAGGGCATTAGGAAACTTTTGGTGGGGATGAATACATTCATTATCTTGACTGTGGTCAGTGTTGTGGGTTGCATTATGTCTCCCCCACCCCGAAAGATAGGGCCCTAATCCCCAGTACCTGTGAATGTGACCTCATTGGAATTAGGATTTTTATAGATGTTATCAACTGAAGAGAAGGACATACTGGATTGAGGAGGGCCCTAAATGTAATAACTGGTGCCTGTCTATGGAGAGAAAGGTTTGATTCAGAGGAGACCCTTGGGGAAAGAGGCCATATGATGAAGTGATGGCAGCTGTAAGTCATGGAGCAGCAGGCATGGCTGGCGACCACCAGAATCTAGGAAGAGACAAGCAGCAAGGAGTCCTCCCTAGAGCTCTAGGAGGGAGCATGGTCATGACAACACCGTGACTTCAGACATCTCATCTCCAGAACTGTGAGAGAGTAAATTTCTGTTGTTTTAAGCCACCCGCGAAGTGGTACTTTGTTCCAGCAGGACTGGCAAACTAAAACAGGTGGTGTCACAAGCATATGTACCTGTTAAAGCTAAAATTTTTAGACCTGGAATCATACATTATGTACTAGTTTATATCTGGCTCCTGTCACTCAGCATAATGGTATTGAGATTCATCCATATTATTTCATGTATCAATAGTTCTTTCCTTTTCATTGCCGAGTAGTATTCCTCTGTATGGCTATATCACATTTGGTTTATTCATTCAGTTGCTATGCACATTCTTGTACACATCTTTGTGTAGACATATTTTCACTTCTCTTAGCTACACATCCAAAGAACGGCTAGGTCATATAGTCAGTGAATGTTTACCTTTTAAAGAAGCTGCGGTACTGTTTTCTAAAGTATCTGTATCCTTTCATATTTCTACCAATATGTATGAGAGTTTCAGTTGCTCTATATTCTTGCTGGCACTTGCTATTGTCAGTCTTTCTAATTTTAGCCATTCTAGTGGGTATGATATGATGTATCATTGTGTTTTTAATTTGTGATTTCCTGATGATGTTAATGGTGTTGGGCATCTTCTCATGTGCTTATTGACCATTGGTATATCTCCCTTTGTGCAGTATCTGAGCTATTATAAGTGGGTTTGTAAAATTTTGTTTTCCAACCGATTGCTGCTAGTAATTGAAATGCAGTTGATCTTATATATAAACATTGTATCCTGAGACATTGCTAAATTCACTTATTAGTTCTAGAATTGCTTTCTAGGTCCATAAATAGTCTGCAAGTAGGAACTGTTTTACTTTTTTCTCATATTTAGGCCTTTTGTTTCATTTATTTGCTTATTCTACTGGCTAGAACCTCCAGTGAAATGTTGACTGAAAGTGGGGAAAATGGACATTCTTGCCTTTTTCCATATCTCAAAAGATAACTTTTAGGCATTCACCCTTTTATATTGAGGTTAGCCATGTGGTTTTCTTTGGTGCCTTTTATCTGACTGAGGAAGTAACCTTTCATTCTTAGTTTGCTCAGAAGATTTATCATGAAAATGATAATGACAGAATTCTTTGTCAAATATTTTTTTCATGTCTATGAAAAAAAGATCATATTCTTATCTCTTTAGTGCTGTTGATAGGGTGAATTACATGGATTGAGTTTCAAAATGTTCAGCTAACCTTACATTTCTGGAATAAATCCTAGTCATTCATGATGTATTATCCTTCTATATATTGTTAAATTTGATTTGCTAATGTTTAAAGAACTTTTGAAACAATTTTACAGCTATATTCATGAGGGTTCTTATCTGTTTTTTTTTCCTGGTTTTGTATAATTTTCCTTGGGTAACTTTCTGGTTTTGTGTAATGTCTTTAAAAGTTTTTGGTATTTGGGCTATGCTGGCCTCATAAAATAATTTAGGCAATGTTTCCTCCTCCTCTGTTTTCTGAAAAAATTTGTATAAGACTCAAATGTTTGATAGAATTAACCAGTGGAACCATCTGGGCCTGGAGTTTATGTTGTGGGAAGGTTTTTGATGAATTCAATTTCTTCATTAGCTCTAAGGCTACTCAGATTTTCTGCTTCTTCATATGTCAATTTTGGTATGTTGTATTTTTCAAGAAATTTGTCCATTTCTTTTAAATTGGTTAAATGTTGGCACTAAGTTGTTCATATCTTTTATATTATCTATGTAAAGTCTAAAATCTGTAGCATAGCCTGTATTTCATTGCTGGTATTAGAGATTTGTGTTCAATCTCTCTCTCTTTGTCCAGCTGATGAGAGAGAGAGAAGAGAGACACAGAACTATCTAAAGTTTTCTGTCTAGCTAGATGTTTGCTGACTTTATTGACCTTTTTCAAAGAACCAGCTTTTGAGTTTACTAATTTTCTCTTGTCTCTCAGTTTTCTCTTTTCATTGATTTCTGCTCTTAACAATTATTTTCTTCTGCTTGCTTTGGATTTTCTTTGCCCTTTTTCTAGTTCCTTAAGGTAGAACCTTAAGCCATTATTTATATACACATTTAAAGCTAATCTCTTCTGTGTTAGCTGTATCCCACAAGTTTTAATATGTTGAGTATTCATTATCATTTGGCTCAAAAAATATTTTCTAATCTCCTTTATGATTTCTTCTGTGACCCTTGGATAATGTGTGTTATTCTTAGATGTCATATTTTTATTGATTTCTAATTTAATACCATTGTGGTCAGAGACATATTCTGTATGATTTTAATCATTTATGATTTATTGAGACTTGTTTTATGTCCAAGCATATGGACTATCTTTGTGAACATATAAAGAATATAGTTTGCCATTGTTGAGTGTAGTGTAAATAACATTTTTTAAAATTGAAAGGTAGTTGATACACAATGATGCTGCATTAGTTTCTGGTGTACAAGAGTGATTCCACATATAAGTAATGATTAGTTCAGTGTGGTTGACAGTGGTATTTGGATCTTCTTTGTCTTTACTGATATTTTTTGATCTAGTTCTATTGATTGCCAAGAGAGATATTAATATCTCTTACTATTATTGTGGGATTTTCTATTTCTCCCTTC